AATGGAGAATGGGGCAAAAAAAAAAAAAAAAAAGTAATAAAACATCCTAGATTTTGTAAATGACTTTAACTTATAGATCAATAAATACAAGGAAAACCACAAATAGGCATATCATAAATAAACTGCTTAAATCCAAAGATAAAGAGAAAATTTATCTTAAAAGCAGAGCAAAATGGCAATATTATATACAGGGCAACAAAAATACAAATTACAGGCAGTTTTTCAAAGGAAACAACAAAAGCCAGAGTACAGCGGAGGAATATATTTACAGTATTGAATGAAAGAAAAACTATCAACCTATAATCTGTATCTATCAAAACTATTCTTTAAAAATGAAAGCAAAATACATTTTAAGAGAAAGAACTGAGAGAATTCATGGCTGGGGGACTTACAGAAATGCTACCAAATTTTTCAGGCTGAAGGAAAATTACAACAGTAATTTGGATCCACAGGAAATAATGAAGATAACTGGGGGTGCCTGGGTGGCTCAGTCGTTAAGCATCTGTCTTCGGTTCAGGTCATGATCCCAGGGTCCTGGGATTGAGCCCCGCATCGGGCTCCCTGCTCAGCGGGAAGCCTGCTTCTCCCTCTCCCACTCCCCCCCCCACCCCGCCCCGCTTGTGTTCCTCCTCTCCCTGTGTCTCTGTCAAATAAATGAATAAATTCTTTTAAAAAAAAATGAAGATAACTGGAATTGGTAAATTTTTGGGTAAATATGAGTTTTTTTTCTTTAATTTCTTTAAAAGTCTGGGTGCCTGAGTGTCTCAGTTGGTTAAGCAGCTGCCTTCGGCTCAGGTCATGATCTCAGAGTCCTGGGATCAAGCCCTGCCTCAGGCTCCCTGCTCAGCAGGGAGTCTGCTTCTCACTCTGCCCTTCCCAACCCCCTCGTGCTCTCTCTCTGCAAAATAAATAATCTTTTTTAAAAATTTCTTTAAAAGTTATAGTTCAACATATGCAGACAAAAATAAGAGCTCATTTGTCAACATCCTGCCATTTTAAAATTTTTAAATTTTTTTTAAAGATTTATTCATCTTAGAGGAAAAGAGCGAAAGGGGCAGAGGGAGAGGAAGAGAGAATTCCAAGCAGACCCCACGCTGAACGCATGATGGGGGTGTCTCGATCCCAGGACCCCAAGATCATGACCTGAGCTGAAACCAAGAGTCAGACACTTAACCGACTGCACCACCCAGGTATCCCAATATTCTGCCATTTTTATATCATTTATACTTTCACCTACTCCCTACCACCTCATTCTATCATCATCATCAATACATGGTTCTTTTTGGTAATATTTACATACAGTGAAGTGTACAATTTTTAGCTGTATACTTTTTTTTTTCAAAAAAGAGTCACCGTTCAAAATTTATTTGGTATTTTAGTTGGTATGACACTTAGTTGGCTGCCTTGTCTTTTTACGTTATATGGCCATGTACACTATATTCTGACATACATGGTACACAAAGTAAGATCCTTTAGGACAGTTATGCACAATACACGCAATACTGAATTTATACATTGGATCCCAGAATGTGACTGACTGGAAAAGATGGACTAGGCATGTCGGGTGTTGGGGGAAGGAACCTGAAGTGACAGAACACACAGTAAACACACATCTGGTGTGCAGAGCAACCGCAGCTCTGGCAGTGGAGCCTCTGAGACGGTGGGGCTAACTTATGTTAACCAATTTAGGGCTACAAAGACAGGTATCATCCAGTACCAGGATACAGCAGCAGGGTTTGGTGAACCATTCCTATTTGGAACTTTAGGAAACTGATGTTTTTTCTTAGGCCATTTTAATATTACTTGAGTAACAGATCAGATAATAAGGACAATATACACAACCTCCAACTAAAATCCTGCTATAGTCTAGACAGTGAAGTGGTACATTAGAAAACTTTAAAACTGCAGCTCCTTTTGGATCCCCCAAAGTGTATCTGCACTCTTCTTCAAACAGGCCTCCTCCTCAGAAGTCAGAGTCACCTTCACAACATCTGAAATTCCATTCTGTCCCAAGATGCAAGGGACACTAAGGAAGACATCATCTTTAATTCCATAGAGACCCTTAATCATGGTGGAAATTGGATGCACCCGCATCCAATTGATGAATGAAGAATGAAGATTCTTCATTATACTTTCGGCCAGATCTGCCACAGACAGTCCAATGGCCCAGGAGGTGTAGCCTTTCAGTTTGATCACCTCGTAGGCACTGTCAACCACCTGTTTGTGAACCTCTTTCCACTGTTCCTTATCTGCATCAGTGCCTAAGTCAGGGTGCAGACTCTTCAGAGAGACACCAGCAACGTTCACTCCACTCCATACAGGCACACTGGAGTCTCCATGCTCCCCAAGGACCCACCCGTGACAGCTTAATGGGTGAACTCCCAGTCTTTCCCCCATTAGGTAACGGAACCAGGCTGAATCCAGACTGCAACCACTTCCAATAACACGGTTTTTGGGAAAGCCACTTATCTTCCAAGCCACAAAGGTCAAGATATCCAATGGATTGGAAACGACAAGCAACTTGCAGTTTGGGCTATATTTTATGATATTAGGAATGATGAACTTAAAGATGTTCACGTTACGCTGGACCAAATTAAGACGGCTTTCTCCCTCTTGCTGACGTGCCCCAGCTGTGATAATAACCAGCTTGGAGTTTGCAGTCACATTATAATCTTTGCCAGAGACAATTTTTGGTGTTCTAAGGAAAAGGCTTCTGTGCTGGAGATCCATCATCTCTCCCTTCAGTTTGTCTTCCATAACATCAACAAGAGCAAGTTCATCTGCCAAGTCCTTCATTAAGATACTGATGGCACAAGCCATGCCAACAGCACCAACCCCAACAACTGTGATCTTACTCTGGGGGGTATGTTCTTCCTTAAGAAGATTCTGAATCAGCTGATCTTTGAGAGTTGCCATTTTGGACTTAGAACCAAAAGGAATCAGGAGTGCACGTTAGGCAGGCAGGCATCAGTGGCGCACGAGGTTGAATCCGGACTCGGCGGCAGCGGCTCTGACACTAGCTGTATACTTTTGACAAATGGATATTATGGTATACAACATTTCCAAGGCCCCAGAAAATACCCTTGTATCCTTTCTCAGCCAATGCTTAGCCTATAAGAAATAATAACTGCTGTGATTTTTTTCACCTTAGTTTTTCCCTCTCTGGTTAGTGTGTTCTTTTTTTTTATTATTATTGCTGAATAGTAATCCATTGTGTGAATGTAACACCAGGTTTTCATTTTTTACTACTGTAAATAAAGCTGCTATGAACATGGCTATACAAGTCTTCTTGTGGACAAATGTTTTTTTCCTTTTGGATAAAGACATAGAAAAGGATTCTGTCAAATAACTGGCGTATACTTTATAAGAAATTGCCTTTTTACATTCCCATTAGCAATGTATGAGAGTCCCAGTTGTTCCACATCCTCACTCATATGTAATGTTAGCAGTATTACTAGTTTTATCCATTCTAGTCATTGTGTAGAGGTATTTCCTTATGATTTTAATGTGAATTTTACTGATGACTGATGATGATGAGCACTTTTTCATGTGTTAATTGGCCATTTGTATACACTCCATGGTTAAGTGTTTGTCTTTTGCCCATTTTTAAACTGAGTTATCTTTTTTACTATTAAGTTGTACAGCTCTGGGATTTAGATAGGAGTGGCACTGAACCTACAGAGGTATTGGGGGGGGATCCCAGATTCCAGAGGACTGGAATCTTAACAATACTGTGTCTTTCAGTGCAAAAATGATAATATGCATCTCCATTTATTTAGGTCTTCTTTGATTTCGCTCAGTAGTGCTCTGGAGTTTTTAAGATAGAGGCATTGCATATCTTTTGTTTAATCCTAAGTATTTTGTGTTTATTGATGTATATTCTACTGTGTATTTTACTACACCAAATTCCACACTTTTCTCAATGTTCTCATTACTTGAAATGTTTGAGTCTCTGAGGGGACCCAATAAATGGCATCCCTTTTCTCTGCATTAGGTCTAAACAAGAAATAAATAATATAAAGTGTAGTAGCTGAAGGCCAAAATCCCATTTTTTGTTACTAATAGTGGCAAAGTTTGTGGATATAGCTTAGTGTGAGAGCTAAATGGTCCTCCTCACTGAGCATCAGGACTAAATAAATTTGTCAACCAGTCAGAGGTAACTAGATTAGGGCAGGTTTTCCCATATGGGAAGAGGAAGAAGGATGGCTAACCATTATTTCTTATTTCTATACTTTCCTTCTTTGCTCTTGAAAAGGTCCCTTCTTTAATAGTTCTTCTAGTGAATCCTGTAGGTAAAAAAATGCTTGATCTTGATATCTACAAAACTCTATTTTGCCTTCATTCATGTTTCCTTTTTTTTTTTCAAGGTAGATTTATTTGAGAGAGAGAGAGCACACAGGGAGAGGGGCAGACGGAAAGGGAGAGAATCCTCCAGCTGACTACCCCCTGAGCTCAGAGCCTGAGGTGGGGCTCAATCCAGGGACCCCAAAATCATGACCCACATGAAAACCAAGTGTCAGGTGCTCAACCAACTGAGCCACCCAGGCGCCACCATTCATGTTTCTTGTATATAAAAATCTAGACTACCAATTTCTTGTATTTTTCCTTTTTTTTTCTAGTTATCATTATTGGTCCATGTAAGACTCATTTTTTTGTTTGTTCATTTACTTGTATATTGATTCTTTTTTAATTTCTTCCTCATTTCTGTCTCTCCTCACAATCATTCTAATGTGCTTGAATGTGTACTTTTTAATTTGAATGTATTCCTGTAAAATGGGTTATGTACACATCCTTATAAAAATGATACAGTGTTGTAGATTTTATTTCTGAGTTTTTGGGTGTTTTTCACTCAGCCCTTTGTTTTTAGGTTCTATATATGTGCTATGTATGCATCTGTTCTGTTGATTACACAGCATTCTTTAGTGTTTAATCCTCTGAAGATAGAATCCCCATGTCTTAGGGCATCTATTGCAGTCAATGAGAAGTCTAGGGACAAACTATCTCTCCTTTCTGAGGAAGCTTAATGGTCTTTTGAATCTTTTAGAGTGTTCTGTTTAAGCTTGATGCCCTCAGGCTAAGATGTGTTTTGGTAGAGTATTGTCATTCTGGAGATTCATGTCTTCCCTCAGTTCTAGAAAATTTTAAGCTATTATCCCTTCAAATATTTCTTTTAAGCCATAATTTCTTCTTTTTATCTGTTTCTTCTATTGGGTGTTATTCTATTTGGTCTTATTGGCTCATTTTTATATCTGTTTTTCTGTGCTATCTTTTCAGTAAATTCCTCAGTACAATCTTCCAATTTATGAATTCTCTTTTCAGTTTTGTCTAGAGTTCATCCCAGCTATTGAGATTTGTTTTTTAATATCCAGTGACTCTTTCTTTCTTTTGTAATTTCCAAGATTTCTAATTGGCTCTTCTTCATAGTCTCCTAACTTCTTGTCCTTTTTAACAGTTACCATTCTATAATTTTTCTCTTTGGCACCCTAAATATATATAATTCTTAGACTTTTCTATAAAATTATTTTTACCTGGAATGAATTCATACTCCAAATGTTGATTTTGTTGGTTGAATTTTATAGGCTCATTGTGAGTACAGAATCTTTAATTTTTTCCTTCTTCCCCTCTGTGGTTATTCCTCCTTACTAGTGGTTATACACTGTTTCCAATTCACCTTCAGGGTTCCCACTTCCACAGCATCTTATACTGTTTTTTAGGGCCCCTGTTATAGTGATATCTGAAATACTGTTGATCTAATAAGGTTTGAAGGAATGGTGCACGGGAAACAATTTCTACCAACCTGCAGAAACTGAACTCCTATCTAGGAATTCAGAGCTCTAGAAATACCAGAGCTTATTTCTTTTTATTTATTTATTTACTTGACAGAGAGAAACACAGCGAGAGAGGGAACACAGGCAGGGGGAGTGGGAGAGGGAGAAGCAGGCTTCCCGCTGAGCAGGGAGCCCAATGCGGGGCTCGATCCCAGGACTCTGGGATCATGACCTGAGCCGAAGGCAGATGCCCAACAACTGAGCCACCCAGGCGCCACCCCCCCCCCCAGAGCCTATTTCTACACTGAGAGCTCAGCACATTCGTTTCAGCCCCACTTACTACTTTATTTTTCCACTTTGTTTTTGGTTCATGTTTATCTTATTATCTAGCCAAGATACATCTTCTTGGGTTTGCTTCTTAATTTCTTTTCTAATTACTATGAGTTGAGAGCAAATGTTACTATGCCATCTTAACTAGAAATCTCCTTTATTTCCAGTTAGAGTACAGTTTTTTTTTCACTTGAACACAGTCACCATATAGAACATTTTATTCCTTTTTACACTACATAATATTTAAATTTTTTAGCTATCTCTTCGATGTTGAGTACAAATCTTAAAACAAGTCAATATTCTCTTTAGAGGTAGTTCTGTACTCACTTTAACATTTCATTCCTGTGACATCACTAAAAAGGAAGCAAAACAGACTGATGGTAATATGCAGACTAATGGAAGCACTAAAATCTCCTTGAGAAAAATAATCTGTAAAGACTTTTGACTAAATATAACATAATTGCTTGATGCGATTAAGAAAATACATTAGACAAGTTTGCTGTTTAATATTAATGTAGTACTCCTGATTACTCTGGCTCCCAATCTATAACTTTTCTTACAAACACAATCAGCATTTCCTCAAAGAATCAGAGTTTGTTAATGATTTCAACTAATGATATAAAACGGTCCAAAATGTCAACAAAATTTTTCTCTGCAGTGGGATAAAGGGTGATAATTTTCTGTAGTTTCCAAATTTACTACAATTAACATGTATAACTAGCTTTTGCATAACCATTATTATTTTGAAAAATGTTTACTTGATTATTAAGTCCATTTATATCTTTTTGGTTTTGTCTTTTTCATATTTTATTTATCATTATTATGCAGCACTAGCAAGCCCTTATCCAAAGGTGAGAGTCATTCGTTCATTCATTGTTAAAATACACATTAAGTAATTTATACCTTTTATATGTCAATTTTACCTATGAATTAGTAAATGTATAAAAGAAGTCTGAGAAGTTAAGTTACACAAAGACCATATATTAATATCACATGTACATTATTTACAAGGGAGCTCCTATTCCCCTCTTGCCAATAATCTCACACCTATTAATAACAGAAATAAGATTAGAATTCAGGTGTGCTAGTTCCACAAGTGAAATATTGAAGAAAAAAAGAGATCTTAACAGCATGAGACAAGGAAATGTCATTCCAAAAATAGGCTGAAGAAGGAAAAGGTAGATTGGTGATAGATTGTAGAGGTCTCTATATTTTATTTAATAGGTAATGTGGCACCAAGAAAGGTTTTTGAGCAACAGAAAGATTAAACAGACAGCTCATAACAATCTTTCCACATTCCAGACATAATCTAATAAGAATCAGGACCAAGGATCTGAAGGAAGAAGGCCCTGGCTGGCTCAGTCAGTAGGGCGTGTGACCCTTGATCTCAGGGTCGTGAGTTCAAGACCCATACTGGGTGTAGAGATTACTTAAATAAATTTTTTTAATTAAAAAATAAAAAATAATAGTAACTAAAGGGGTGCCTGGCTGGCTCAGTCAGTGGAGCATATGACTCTTGATCTCGGAGTCATGAGTTTGAGCCCCACATTGGATGTGGAGATTACTTAAAAAATTTTTTAAAAATCTTAAAAATATGTTAAGGAAAAGGAAGTGAACTACAGAAGAAATTATATTTTTGAAAGAATGGCTGAAAACTATATTTCAAATCCTTTTAATTAAAGTATCAAACACTAATTTATGTTAAAAAGATATTAAAACTAATCTCCTATGAAATTTAAGAATATTTCCAACTTCACTGCATACTTCAGGCGAGCCCCTCTTCCAGTCCTCTGCTATGCCCAACCTTCCCAAGTGCACAGCCTCTCATATTATGAGGATCAAAT